TGTCGAGACTTCGTCTCACATACTTTGGACATGTTGTCAGAAGGGATCAGTCCCTGGAGAAGGACATCATGCTTGGTAAATTAGAGGGTCAGTGAAAAAAAGGAAGACCCTCAACGAGATGGATTGGCACAGTGGCTGCAATACTGGGCTCATCCATAACAACGATTGTGAGCATGGCGCAGGACTGAGCAGTGTTTCGTTCTGTGATGCATAGGGTCGTTATGAGTCGGAACTGACCTGACAGCACCTAACAACAACAACAACATTGCATAGATGTCAAAACTGAGACTCTAGAGGTCAAGTAGAGCTCAATGTCACACAAATAGAAATGACTGAGCCTGAGTTTGGAACGAACTCTGCCTGTCTTCAGGGCCCATTTTATTTTTTTTTTAAGGAATAAATTTTATTCAGAGATTCAGCAGTTGAAAGATAATAGATAATTTTGATATAATGAGATAGGTAACCCACAGATATAGCTATAGCTGTTTTTTTGTAGTATGGAGATTTATTTCTTATTCCTCTTGAAATTAAAATTTAAAAATGATTTCCATAATTTTACATAGTACTGAACAATATGTTAACTGAGAGGATTAGCAATAGTATTAAAATGTGAAGATGATTGCCTTTAAAAAATACATATATATACAGGCTGCTAGGCAATTCAGAAGCTGGTCAATGCAATAGAAAACTTTACCTTGTAGATATTTATGACTCAAGTAGGAAAATACTATATTTTATAAACAAAGGGCCCATTTTCTTAGCCACCATGCTCGATTGCTGGTATTCCAGCCTTACCTTTATACTGGGCGATATTAGGGTGATCATTGAACCTCTAGCATCTCAGGGATTTCTTTCTGTATTAGAAAGTCCACACTTCTGAACAAGGTTTCCATGAAAGTAGCCTACAAGGTCATGAAGAATCTTGTGTATTTTGTAATATATGGTGGAGTGGTCTATTGCTGATGATTTATGTCTTTATTTTCTATTGTTTGTTTTCTATTGAATAAATGATGTGTGCAAAATAACTGTGAATAATTATCTGATTCTCAGCATCTCTGATAAAACGTCACCTTTTCAACGAGCCTTGACAGTTCTATTTAATAGGTCCCTGGATGGTGTGAACAGTTAGTGCTTGACTACTAACCCAAAGGTTGGTGGTTTGAACCCACCCAGCAGCACTGAGGAAGAAAGGCCTGGTGATCTGCTTCCATAAAGATTACAGCTAAGAAAACCCTACAGAACACAGTCCTGCTCTGTAACACATGGGGTTGATATTAGTCCCCATACCCTGCTGTGTTTTTTTCACAGGCCTTATTACTGTCTATCATATAGAAAATGTACTTCATTAAGTTTTTTTAATTTGAACATATATTGTATATGCCTGGCACTCTGTTATAATGACAGCTCCATGAGGGCAGGGATCTTTGTCTGTTTTACTTCCAAGCAACCAGTACAGTGCCTGGCACATCGTCCGTTCTCAGTCGATTCTTATTGACTAAACAAATAAATATAGCCTCATTTATTTTTCCTCAGTCAGGATGATTTGTATGTGTTATGGACTGAATTGTGTCCCCCCAGCCCCAAATATGTATTTTAAATCCTAACTCCTATACCAGTGGTTATAATCCTATTTGGGATGAGTTTTCTTTGTTATGTTAATGAAAAAGTATTAGTGTAGGGTGTGTTTTGAGTCAATCTTTTTTGAGATAGAAAGGAGCAAATGAAGCAACGAAGTGAGGGAGCAGAGACGGGAGAAGGTAGATGCCATGCCACATGAAGATCAAGGAGCCAAGGAACAGAAGCTGAAGAGAAAAGGACCTTCCCCAGAGCCTACAGAGAAAGAAAGCTTCCCCTAGAGCTGGTGCCCTGAATTCGTACTTGTAGTCTTCCTAAACTGTGAGAGAACAAATTTGTGTTTGGTAAAGCTACCCACTAGTGGTATTTCTGTTAGAGCAGCACTAGAGAACTAAGACAGTATGACGTCCTCTTAGAACACAGCAAGTCATTTTTTAGGAGAAGATTTGGCCTTAAGTGTAGGAAAAAGCCATAAATATTTACATTATTAGGAATTCAATTGGGGAAAAAGCACCAGATGCTGACATTTATTTTTTCAATGCATCAGTTTTTGCCAAACATTGATCACGATTCCATTTTTTTATTTATCTGAAATTCTATGAGATCTTTTTCAAATTCAGTTTTTGTTTCAAGGATGAAAGAAGGACAAGAAGAATCACCCTTGAAATTCACATTCAGTCTTTCCATGATTCCAAATTATCAGCATCCAAAGGCACAGAGACAAGATTGTCCAAATACCTGGCAAGAACCCCATCTGTATTAGAATTCTAAACTCACTGTGATGGCTTTGTCCCTTAATGAGCTTTGCAGGCTAATTCCGGAGTGGCTTGATTCATGCATCTCACTGATTGATAATGATTTGGCATTTAAAAAATGGGACAGGTCTTTTGGAATAAGAGGAGAACTTGGAAACCAGGGCACACTGCTTGTCAGGAACAGAGAGGAAGAAATGACTTGGCAGGCAACAGGTTGTAGAGGTCTTAACAGGTCTTGCTCCTCAGGGCTCACTGTCTTGTACCCATTTCTTTTTTTTTAATTTTTATTTTAATTTTTTATTGTTGTAGTTTAAATGAAGTTTACATTTCAAGTTAGTCTCCCATACAAAAATTTATATACATTTATGTGACTCTAATTGCTCTCCACATACTGTGACAGCACACTCCTCTTTTCCACCCCTGATTCCCCATGTCCATTCAACCAGCTCCTAACCTTGTCTGCCTTCCCATCTCACCTCCGGACAGAAGCTGCCCGTTTAGTCTCTTGTATCTACTTGAGCTAAGAGGCACACTCCTCATGATTATCACTTTATGTCTCACAGTCCAGTCCAATTCCTGTCTGAGGAGTTGGCCTCAGAAATTGTTTTAGTTCTGGGCTGATAGAGAATACAGAGGCCATGCTTTCCAGCATTCCTCCAGTCTCAGTCAGACCCTTAAGTCTGGTCTTCTTACTAGAATTTGAGTTCTGCACCCACCTTTCTCCTGCTCCATCTGGGACTCTCTGTTCTGTTCCCTGTCAGGGCGGTCATTGGTGGTAGCCGGGGACCGTCTAGTTCTTCTGGTCTCAGGCTGATGAAGTCTCTGGTTTATGTGGCCCTTTCTGTCTTTTGGGCTAATACTTTCCTTGTGTCTTCAGTGTTCTTCATTCTCCTTTACTCCCGGTGGTTGGCACCAATTGATGCATCTTAGATGGCCGCTCGCAAGCTTTTAAGACACCAGACGCCACTCACGGAAGTAGGATGGAGAACATTTTCTTAATAAGCTTTGTTATGCCAATTGACCTAGATGTCCCCTGAAAGCATGGTTCCCAGACCCCTACCCCTGCTACTCTGTCCCTCAAAGTGTTTGATTGTATTCAGGAAACTTCTTAGCTTTGGTTTAGTCCAGTTGTTGCACCCCATTTCTATTGTGCTCATATACACATCAAAAACAACCTCAAAGAAAGACACAGTTGATTTTGGGACTCCAAGGGGTTATGGTCTTAGAGATGAGAAGATTCCAGAATGTACACAAACCTAGGAGCTTATTTTTCACAGTTCCCAAGAATTTAGAAAAAATAATTCCAAGTATATGAGTCAGGCACGTTATGTAAGTTATGTCCTTCACAATGATATTGCAGTGTTGGCATTATAATCCCCATTTAACCAAAAATGAGGCTGAGGTAAAGAAAGGTTAATCAACTTCCCCAAGGTCTTATGGGATTTGAACCAAGTTCTGATTTCAAAGCCAATGTCCTTAACACTATACCAATAGGATTTCTCCACAAAGTAGTGATTTCTGGTTCTACAGTGGGGCTGATGACAGGTCTCCAATTTTGGACTTGTCAGAAGTTTGGATGTGTGTAGGGAACTGGGTTCTGGCCCTGACTTTGTCTCTTTGTTGTTGTTGTTTGTTAGGTGTTGTTGAGTCAATTCTGAATCATAGTGACCCTATGTACAATAGAATGAAACCCTGCCTGGTCCTGTGCCATCCCTATCATTGCTATGTTTGAGTCCATTGTTGCAGCCACTGTGTCAGTCCATCTTGTTAAGCGTCTTCCTCTTTTTCGCTGACCCTCTACTCTACCAAGCATAATGTCTTCTAGGGACTGGTCTCTCCTGATAACACGTCCAAAGTATGTGAGACAAAGTCTTGCCATCCTTGTTTCTAATGAGCATTCTGGCTGTACTTCTTCCAAGACATACTTGTATGTTCTTCTGGCAGCCCATGGTATATATTCAGTATTCTTCGCCAACACCATAAGTGATTCTTTACTGATTACAAAATTTTGAACTAGTGACTTCACCTCTTTGATGCTTATACTCTTATCTTGAAAATGCGATTAACAATATGTGCTTTCAAGGATTTCTGAAGGATCAAAAATTTTAAAGTGTTATACAAATATAAAAGATTATTATCATTACTGAATGTATTGGTTTCCTAGAGCTGCTTTAACAAATACCACAAATATCTTTAAACAACAGGAATATATTCTCTTAGCGTTCTGGTGGCTAGAAGTCTGGAATCAAGGTGTTCGCATGGTTGATTCCTTTTGGAGACTCTGAGAGAAAATCTTCTCCTTACCTCTTCCTAGATTTTGGTGATTGCCGGCAGTCCTCGGCATTCCTTAGCTTGTAGACATATCGCTCTAATCTTTGCCTCTGACTTCACATGGCATTCTCCCTGAGTATCTTTGTGTCTCCTCTTATAAGGACACTGGATTTAGGGCCCACCTTAAAATCCAGTATGACATAATTTTAACTAATTACATCTGCAAAGACCCTATTTCCAAATAAAGTCACATTCTGAGATTTGGGTGGACCTGAAATTTTGAGGTACAGTGTTCAACCCAGTACACTGAGCAATGATCAAATGAAGCCATGTTCATCTTAATTTACCATCAATGAGACTTTTTTTTTTTTTTTAATTTCAGCAGGTAACCTTGGCTTAATGGCAGAGAATGGCACTGTGGTGACGGAATTTGTTCTAATGGGATTCCAGCTTCCGGCAGAGCTGCAGATGGGCCTCTTCTTTGTGTTTCTGATTCTTTACCTCCTCACCATGGGGGGCAATCTGGTCATGATCCTTCTGATTCATAGTGACCCTCACCTCCAGACTCCCATGTACTTCTTCCTCAGCCACCTTTCTTTCTTGGACATTTGCTATTCCTCTGTAATTATCCCTCAGTTGCTTGAAACCTTAGGGACTGATAAGACAGTCATGACCTATGAGCGCTGTGCCACCCAGTTCTTCTTTTTCACACTTTATGCTAGCACTGAATGTTTCCTTTTGGCTGTGATGGCCTATGACCGCTATGTGGCTGTGTGTAACCCTCTCCTCTACGCCACTGCCATGACACCACAGACCTGCCTGGGGCTGGTGGCTACGGCATACGCTGGTGCAATGGTCAATTCTGTAGTCCGCACTGGGTGTACTTTCTCCTTATCCTTCTGTAAGTCCAATAACATAGACTTCTTCTTTTGTGACCTGCCACCCCTGCTGAAGCTTACCTGTGGTGAGACCAAGCCACTGGAGCTAGTGATATACCTCTTAGCTTTTTTGGTCATCACAATCAGCATTTCAGTGATTCTCATCTCCTACCTGTTCATCATTAGGGCTATTATGAGGATTTGTACAGCAGGTGGCAAAGCCAAGACCTTCTCCACCTGTGCTTCTCATATGACTGCAGTGGCTCTTTTCTTTGGGACTCTCATATTCATTTACCTGAAAAGTAACATGGGCAAATCCCTCTGGAAGGACAGGATCATTTCCGTATTTTACACTGTGGTTATCCCCATGCTGAACCCAATAGTCTACAGCCTCAGAAACAAGGAAGTGAAGGAGGCTCTGAACAAAGCTCTCAACAGGATGAAGGTTTCCCAAGTAGAATAAGACCCGAGTTCCATCAATTCAGAAGTTCCTGCAAATCATCCTCTGTGATTTTGGCTCATCTCCTTAACACATGAACCAGATCTCACAGTTACAAAAGGCATACAGAAGTAGAAAATATGTAGATTTGGGTCCTAGTATTCTGTTTATTAGCTCTGTGATCTTGAGCCAGAAATGCTCTGGCTCATTTTTCTTATCAGTAAAAATTTCTGCCTTGCTATGATTGAAGACAGAATCAAGAGAGATGGACTATCAAAGGACTTTGTAAATAATAACATGCTATAAAATGTAAGATTATTTATTTTTTTCCTACCTGTCCTGGGTATTGTTGAGTGTTTTCTCAGCTAATTGAATTTTTTTCTGCTAAGCTCGTTTTTGTACCTAGAGTGATTACAAAAAAAAGCTCGTTGTTTGTATAGTAAGGGCAGTCACATTATTTGGTTGTGGGTAGTGGGGTGAAAATCAGCCTTGACCAAAGAAAACTTTTCTCAACATTGAATCTATCCAATTTAGGCATTTGTCATGGAAAATACAAGCTGCTAAAGAAAGGAAGAAAAAGTAAACAGGGTAAAGGAGATGTAAACAAGGAAATGTTCCACTAGAATATGTCAGCCTACTTTCCAAGATGACTTAGAGGATCAAGACACTGTAGAATGAGAGAAAGATACACAGATTTTCATTAATTACTGAAAACAATTTGTTCATTATGTAGGGCTGAACTGAGTCCCATATATAACTTTCGTAATATTTCCTGATCACCGAAGGTCTGAAGCTATATTTTACCACTGAAGCATTGTTCATGGACCATCTGCCTCAGTTAACTCAAGCTATTTTCTATTCTCCAGTAATGAAAACCACCATCTACTTTCATCTCCTTTAGGACATTTGCTTTATTGTCAGAAGACAGATAACTATGAATCTGACTGCTACCTCCTAATGACCTCCACATCTGTTGGAACTATTATTTGGGAAACAACTCCATGGAGACCCTGCAATCTATCTTATTCATCAATTCAGCAAATATTTACTACCTATTACATATCAGACATGATACTAGAGTCTGGGAATATAGTAATAAATAAGATAGACATGGTAACTCCCCTCATGGAGATTAGAATCTGGGGCATAGACAGACATCAAACCATTACACAGTTAATTAACGTTTTACAGTTTTTGAAAGTGGAACAGAAGAAGCAGCACAGGATATTGTTATACTTTATAATGGAGTCCTGACCTAGTTTGGTGTGGTCAGCAAACACTTCCCTGAGGAACTAGCATAAATTTAAGCTGAGGTCTAGACAATAAGTATGCCATAGTCAGGGGTTAGGAAGACCATTCCAGATAGAAAGAGCTGCAAATGCAAGGGCCGGAGAAAGAGGATGGCTTGCAGAACTGAGAGGAGCCAGAGTGGTGCAGTGGAATGAGTCCAGGGGGCTTAGTGTGAGATGCAGCTGGTGAATTCAGAAGAAACTAGGATACAGAGAGACTTTCAGACTTGCTTAGGGACTTGTGGACTTTATTGAAAGAGCAGGATGTGAAATGATCAGATCCGAATGATAACGCCTTGGCGGCAGGGTGATGGGTGGAATAGGGGGCTGGAGGCAGTAGAGATGGCGGGAAGTTGACCCACTTCACCTAAGAAACAACAAATGGTGCATCCCAGGGCATGGTGCTTGAATTCCATGCAATACTGTATGCTTCGTTCTAGAATACAGGTTAAGCCAGAGAAATCTAGCAGGTATATGACCATGATATTGGTCTAGGACTGATTCTTTACAAAATGGTGAAATTAGAGAAATAGAGTTTTGGTGGTATCTATCTTTTCACTGGTGCTTTCTTTCCCTGAAGTGCAACTTTCCTCAGATATTACACAGGTATATACTTTCTTGGGCCTCTGGGTGGCTCAAACGGTTAAGCTCTGGGCTACTCACCAAAAGGTTGTCAGTTTGAACGCACCTAGAGGCTCCTTGGAAGAGAGACCTGGCAATCTACTTTCAAAAGGTTACAGTGATGAAAACTCTATGGAATACAGTTCTACTCTGACATACATGGAGTCACCATGAGAAGGAATCAATTCAACGTTAACTGGTTTGGTTTGGTTGGTTGTACACCACCTGACCTTTCATTAAACTTGTTAACTATTCCCTCTTAAGGAGTCAACAAATTATTATTAACTCCCTACTATGTGCCAGTGTGGGTTAATAGACAATGAACTTAAGAAATCACCCCTGTCAGGGCTTCTTGCATGCTAAACTCAAGAAAACCTTCGACTCAGCAAAGAAATGGGCAAAATTGTAGACAGTGGGTTTGCTATCTCAGTAGTGATGGGAGCTACCTCATACTCCTCCCAACTTCTACTTTCTGAGTGGCAACCAACTCTGCCTATAAATGATCTTTCATACATGTACAGTATTTGATGTACATACAGTGTACAAGGTAGCAACCACCTTCTGATTAATATGAGAAGGCACGAGAGAAAATGGCATTTACGTTGAATTTCCGATTACAAATGTTAATAAATGAATGGACACATTCACAGATTACCTAATGTGTGTTAGGCTCTGTGCTAAGAGATTTCATTTATTTTGTTTAAAGATCCCAGTATTTTTAAAATGAATTGTATATATAATCTTATAAAAAATATAATCTAGTTAGTAATAATGGAGACTTTCTCTGTTTTTTTTTTCTTTTTTCTTTTCCCTCAACTTCTAAGGGTATCCCTTTTAGGAACTGGTTTTTAAATTATAAAATTTCAGCTGTAATTTGTTGGCTTCCATCTACCAAAAACAATATTGGACAAATGAAAAACAGCAATCTGTCAAACTCTGAATTGACTCATTTAACTCAGTATATCAAAGAGGTTACAGCATTATGTTAGTACCATCTAGACCTACAGCAATATTTTATTCTGGGTTTCTATTTTTCACATAAAATTGGAATGAATGACTGTAAGTGTAAAGCCAAATGAACTAGATTCTCAGCATAAGGGCACTGAGGTAAGGGAAATGATGGCGTATAACCCACACAACACATAATCTTGGGACTTTGCTAGAGCATATATTTATATATTCACTTTTGTGTATGAGTATGGATACAGGTGATGCAAATGGTTTGTGCTCGACTACTAACCTAAAGCTTGACGGTTCAAACCCACCCAGTGGCACTGTGGAATAAAGACCTGGTGATCTGCTTCTGTAAAGATTATAGCCAATAAAACCCCATGGAGTAGTTCTACTCTGTAACACATGGGGTCACCATGAGTCAGAATCAACTCAATGACAACGGGTTTATGAATATGTCTGGAAGAGTCACAACACTTCAGATAAGATCAACAACAACCAGAACAACTTTTTTTTTTTGATCATGACAGTCAATACAGGATAGGTAGAAATTCATCCAGATTTCTTTTTCTGTTGTTAGTCAAATTCTGTCTATTTTTTAATTTACAGAGAAGGGAAACTGCCATACAGCCATGTGCAAATGACCCTAACAAAAAGCTGCCCAAGCACACACTCTCCCTGTGTACGTGTATCACCCATAACTTTCTGGAGGCAGTGGAGAAGGAGGGCAAAGAGAGAACTATGAGTTTTTGTTAAAAGGTTTTTTACTGGTGATGGAGTTCAAAGAAGGTAAGGTAGCTCTAGGTTCTGAATCTCATTTTTCCTACTGCTGAATTCAAACCTCAAACAATATTTCGAATCTTGCTTAGACATACAGTATGAGGAAGATAAATCATCCAAGAAAGTGGGGAAAGCTGACAGAAGTTGAAAGGAAAGTAGGCTGCTTGCTTCCCTGTGGTGCACCCGCGCGGTTGTTCACGGAGATCAAGATGCTTCATGGATATTATACAATTCATCCTTTTAATCCCATTGGGAAAGAAAGTCTTGGCTATTTCTACATATCTCTTCTTCAAAAAAAATCATGAAGTTTTCTAAAAATGATTGAAAAGAACATTGTGTCTTTTTCCTTTTGTCAATGTTATCTTTATCCTTATTTAAAGCAAAACAGTGCAGACACAAAAATAAAAAAAAAAATGACAGCAACAGAAATTAAAAAAAGTATACTTTTTGTAATGGAATGAATATCTGAACTCTTTCTAATTCTACCTTTAGAATTTGCTTTTTTGGGCTCTTGAAAAATGTATCTTAAAAATAGCCTGTCTACACCTGTTGCTTTATATATTCAGTAAAGACACAGCCTAAAATATTTTACACATTAATGCAACAGATTATTTATTGAGGGGCTGTTATATGCTGGGCACTGTTCTAAGAGTTTGGGAGCAAGAACAGTGAACTACACAGATAAAAAATTAATCCTTGTCCTTGTGTTGCTTACATTCTAATCGGGTCTGGGGAGAGATAGACAATAAACATAATAAATAAGTACATAATTTAGCCAATAAGTAAATAATATAGTATGTTAAAATGCTGTGGAAAAAACTGGAGGCATTAATCTTACAATGTAAGTGAGTAATTCCCTGTGTCGGAGATAGAGGAATGAAGAGCTACGAGGTAATTATTTCCCTTCCAGGGTGAATATAAGCTCAAATAATTAATTTGTGACAGTATTTATTGAGCGTGTGCTATGTTCCAGACCCTCTAATGGGCGCAAGGGATGGATATGACATGGTCCTTAATCTAAAAGAACTTGTAATCTAGAAAGGGAGATATGTAAATAAGTATTTGCAGTAGGTATGAAAGAACAACAGAATCAGAAGGATGAAATGGTAAGCTCTTTGTTGTGGTGCAAACAGTTAAGTGCTGAGCTACTAACCAAAAGTTTGGCCGTTTGAACCTACCCGGAGGCATTTTGTGTGAAAGACCTGGTGATCTGCTTCTGGAAGGTCAGAGCCTTGAAAATTCTGTGGAGCATAGCTCTATTCTGCGCAGATAGGGTCACCACGAGTCAGAATCAACTTGAAGGCTATTGGTTGTTTTTTTTTTGGTTTTTCCTTGCAGGAATAGTCAGGGAAGTTATTCAGAAAAGTGTAGAAATTTCATTTGCGTCTTGAATGATGTATAGGAATATGTCTAGTGGACATGTCATTGGCGGTGGGAAGGGAAAGGCGTTTCTGATAGTAGGGAGAAAAGACCCAGTGGTCAGAGACTTTAGGGTGT